TTTCATCTATCTCAAAACAATGTATTTTTACAAGCAGGACAAGGTATACACACACACACACAGACACACATACATCTTGTTTTCCATATACATATTCTCTCTCTCTCTGTATATATATACATATATATATATACACACATACACACACACGTGCTTGAGCACATAAACACAGGAGAATGTAGGCTTTATATATTCACAAGTAGGGGAAATTCAACCTAGTTTTTTTTTTTTTGTTTGGTCAACTTATAGGGGTGGCACTGAATCGACAAGACAAGCAACTCAGTTGATCAATGCTCTGATCAAGGATCCAGACAAAGAAATTGATGAACTTATTCCAAAGAATCGTTTGAAAAGCTCCTCAGCAAATTCCAAAATAGGGTCATCAGCACCTACCACCACTGCTGCTAACAGTTCCCTGATGGGAATTAAAATGACGACTGTAGCTCTGTCATCAACATCTCAAACTGCCACAGCACTCACTGTGCCTGCAATTTCTTCTGCATCCACCCACAAAACCATTAAGAACCCAGTGAATAATGTGAGGCCTGGTTTTCCAGTTTCTCTTCCATTAGCATATCCTCCACCACAGTTTGCACATGCTTTGCTTGCTGCTCAGACTTTCCAGCAGATCCGTCCACCAAGGTTGCCCATGACCCACTTTGGAGGTACTTTTCCACCAGCTCAATCCACTTGGGGTCCTTTTCCTGTCAGGCCTTTGAGCCCTGCCAGAGCTACTAACTCGCCTAAGCCTCACATGGTGCCTCGCCATAGCAATCAGAATAGCAGTGGTTCTCAGGTGAATTCAGCAGGTTCTTTAACTTCAAGTCCCACAACTACAACCAGTTCATCAGCTTCAACGGTGCCTGGTACATCTACAAATGGCGGTCCAAGTTCACCTTCTGTTAGAAGGCAGCTTTTTGTCACAGTTGTGAAGACATCCAATGCCACCACCACAACAGTCACAACCACAGCAAGCAACAACAGCACTGCACCCACAAATGCCACATATCCTATGCCTACTGCCAAAGAACACTATCCAGTATCATCCCCATCTTCCCCATCACCGCCAGCCCAGCCAGGAGGGGTTTCTAGAAATAGCCCTTTGGATTGTGGATCAGCATCTCCAAATAAAGGGGCAGCTTCTGAACAGGAAGCAGGTAGTCCACCAGTAGTAGAAACAGCAAACAATAGACCTCCACACAGCAGCAGTTCTTCTGGGAGTTCATCAGTTCATTCAACTCAGCAACAACCTCCGGGATCTGTTTCTCAGGAGCCAAGACCACCTCTTCAGCAGTCTCAGGTTCCTCCCTCGGAAGTGAGAATGACTGTTCCTCCTTTAGCAACAACAAGTTCTGCGCCAGTGGCGGTGCCTTCTACTGCCCCAGTGACTTACCCTATGCCTCAGACACAAATGGGATGCTCTCAGCCTGCTCCTAAAATGGAAACCCCTCCTATTAGACCACCCTCTCATGGCACAACTGCCCCTCACAAGAATCCAGCTCCAGTGCAAAATTCATCTGTTGCAGTCCTCAGTGTCAATCACATTAAAAGACCTCACAGCGTTCCCTCTTCTGTTCAGCTACCTTCAACCTTAAGTACACAAAGTGCTTGTCAGAATTCAGTACATCCAGCAAATAAGCCCGTTGCTCCCAATTTCAGTGCCCCCTTACCATTTGGGCCCTTTAACACATTGTTTGAAAACAGCCCTACTTCTGCTCATGCCTTCTGGGGAGGATCTGTTGTTTCATCTCAGTCAACACCAGAATCTATGCTATCAGGAAAATCCTCGTATTTGCCAAATTCAGATCCTTTACATCAGTCTGATACTTCCAAAGCTCCAGGTTTTAGACCACCATTACAGAGACCCTCTCCAAGTCCCTCAGGTGAGCTTATATTTTCTTAATTCTGGGGTTGCTCATTTATACAGCTGGTGTGAAAATTCTTGGTAATTTTCTAATGTTTTTATTATACGGTGACATGGACAGAGATTGTTGTATTCAGTTACCTCAAATGCTATTTTATTATGTGTGTTTAGTATGGTGGATTTTTTGTTAATCTTTCAAAAGCTACAGTAGATTTTTCTAGAATTACCCATAATTAAGATTTTTTTTAAAATCAGGTATATATTTCTCTCTTGAAATAAAAAAGATCTCTTATGTTTTAATTTAATAAAGTAATGCCACCAAAAGTTTGCTTTTATTAGAAAATCAAAATAGCTAACAGATTTTTAAAATTTGATTTCATTTCTGATTGTCTTTTTTGTTTTTAAAATAATGAAAAAATATAGGGCTACATAGTCTAATATGGTAGCCACTAGCCATGTTTGCTATTTAAATTTAAATTAATGAAAATTAAATAAAATCAAAAATGTATCTTCTCAGTCAAACTAGTCATATTTCAAGTGTTTCGTAAACACCTGTGGCTAGTGGCTACCATATTGGACAGCAAAGATGTAGAACATTTCCATTATCATAGAAAGTTCTATTGGACAACACTGATTTATAGAGGATCTAAAGATATTCTGATTGTAGGCTGTGCTTTTTGTTTGGCTTTTTTCTTTGAAATATTTTTAGATTTATAGGAGAGTTCTTCTATAATTTCCCCAGGTTCCCCTAATGTAAATATCTTATATAACCAGGATATATTTTAAAACTAAGAAATTAATATTGGTAGAGTACTACAAACCTGACTACAAATTTTATGCAGATTTCACCAGTTTTTCCAGAAATGTCCTTTTTCTATTGCAGGATCCAATCCAATATGCCAATTTGCATTTAGAACTATTGCGTTTTAATGTGAGCATTTCAAGTAATAAAAGACAGTCCATGCAAGAGGTTGACACACTGTGGTTACTATGGTGCCTGTTTTTACATTTTTAAATA